TTTTGCCCATTCATGGATCAACCATCACAACTCACAACCGGAAGTTTGTAATCTTCGACAGCACTACACTTGTTCATATGCAAAGTACTTCATCTTCCAACAATAAGAGGATTCTTGTTCTTGTAAATGTAATAGCTCATACACAATTTCTCTAAAGTTGCAACAAAATGCTGCATAGGATTTAGCTTTATATCCATCATCATTCTCTGCCATAATAACAACAAAACATTAAACAGCCTCCTAACAGCAACATTTTCACTTTACAATGTTAATATATCTTCAATTGAAATTAACATGACAACAGATCAAACCTGAAAATCAGCTCCATATTTCTCAACTAGCCGACTAATATAAAGACGCTGAATCGAAGTCAAAGGTTGAGGAAGTGCACTTTTATAAAATTCCAAGTGCCGATTAGATAGTAGCATCCAATATTTACGTATGCCACAAATACTTGCCATCACATGATGCAATTATATCATCACAGTAGTCTGGATCAATCGGAGAACAAACGAGTTGTGTGGCGTTTGTGGTGAAAAGTAAAAAGTGGTATTGATGGTAAGAACCCCTAAGGCTGTACTATTCAATTAAACATCACATATATGCATTTGAAATGAAAATTAACAGAGTTTCCATGTAGTGGATATGCAAAATCAATAGCATCCAGTTTACATATGTTGCATTAATTACTCTATTCAACTTTAATCATTATATTCAACATTCACACGTTTACCTATTACACTATACGGTACGTTAATGCTTTTCGGTTTCTTATAGGATTTTCGTTTTCAATATAATTTGCATCGATTCGAGTCTGTTTTCTTATCTTGTTTCTGCAGCAGCTCCAATAAGTTCAGATTCTTATTGAAAACTTTTTATGTGATGTGAACAAGCTGGCCAGAAAGTTAATCTTCAAAAGTTAGCAAGGAAAGTCTATAGGTATCCCTTTGTTCCACTCAAAAGTTAGCAAGAGTACCTTCAACTACATCATTTAAAGAGTTCAAAAGAGATTTCTTACAAATGAGGAAGGTTTGATTCCTAGTAAACAAAGAGTGCCAGGTACTTCGACTATGAAATTTCATGTTTTTGGAAGCAACATTAAGCAATCAATTTTAACTAAACCGATTGCAATGCATACAATCTACTTATGGTAACGAGTTTGGGAGAAATCATAACTTGCAAGTTCAAGATGATTCTCGATAAAGAGTAACGGTATGCATACGGAGATGTGAGAGGGTATGGGGATTATCTAATTCATTTGTATCGACTGCAGAGGCTTTGGATGCAATAGTTCTGCAGCCGCTACAGAAGTTCCAAATCCTAAGGAAAAAACAAAATGACTCAGTATAAATCATAATAATATACACAAATTTATGCATAACAAATCACAACCCCGACAAAAAAATTTCTTTAAAACAACTTATATAGTTGCAAAAGCATGCAGCAAAACAGGAGATTTTTAAATTGGATCACATGTGATAAGATTAATCTAATACATTATTCATACGCAACAAAGAAAACTGCCAATTTGGTGTTTCAACTGCTAGGTTCCTTTCTATACTAATGTTGTTGCTGAATCTATGGGGGTAAAGAAAAGCGAAAAACAATTGAGAGACTCATCTTGAGGAAGGGTATGCATCTTGATTCGTATCGCACACATCATCACTTGGGCTCTTTCAGAAAATGTAGCTTGATAAGTGCTGGAAGTTCTGCTAACTCAACCCGAGGTTTCCCGAGTAAAATACCTTTTAACTTCTCATCACAGTTTACCATGTTCTTGTTATTTGGATCCTGCACAAGCAAGGAAACAACCAATTCTAATCACTGATTCAAAGTTTAAATTCTCCAATCCTGAAAACAGAACAATAACAACAATTACTTTGATGTGAATCAATTTTCATGAGTTGAAAAAACAAAGCAGAACCTGAAGATTGTTGGTTTTGACGTAGGACCAAACACGCATGAAACAGGTTAATCGAGAAGTCTGAGATTGACCGACGAAGTCTCTGAGAGTGGGAGGAAGGTTAACGAGATCGATCAAGTTTGCGAGCTTTTTAGGGTTATCAGTAACGGCTTTCTTCATTCGCTGAGGAAGCATTCTTCACTTCAATACACGATTTGTAATGGCTGCGAGATGGGTTTATCAAAATTCTAACTTCAGAGGAAATGTGCAACTCAATTTGTGTTTAGTTAGGATTAGGTATAAATTTAACAATAACATTGTGTTTCAACTATATATGTGAATATTATGTCAAGCTCTATGTATATACTTTAGCTCATGATAAATGATTATTTAGGTATAAACTTAAAATCATTTTTCAACATCAATTAAATCCACATATCATGTTATAAAAGTCATGTCTTTCGAGGCATAACCATAAGTTACCCTTGGTCTAGTCCTATCAGACCGTCTCGACATCTCATAGATCCTCCTCAAGCATAATACAAATATAACAAGCATTGAGAAAAAGATGAAAGATTAAATTTATTTGATTGATTAAATTGAACATAACACCATTGTCGTATCAAATTCATAGAATATATAATAATGCATAAACTTAACCTTAACAAGAGAGAACTTAAATATACATAACAATTATAATTAGATAAAATATATAAGTTAGCAAGAGATTTTTAAAGGTTTTGGGTGCGACGGTTGTTTTACCGTCGTGAAATGAATTTTAGGACGGATAATTTTACCGTCGTGAAAGGTTTAAGGGTGCGACGGGTGCTTTACCGTCGTGATATGCCTTTTAGGACGGTTAATTTTACCGTCGTGACTAGTTGTTGGTGAAAAATCAATGTTAAAAGTGTTAAATGGGGGCCGACGGTTGTTTTACCGTCGTAATAATAATATTATGATGGTTAAATATACCGTCGCAAAATAAATATTAGGGACGGTTGGTGTCAACTGTCGTAAACACTGTCTCTATATGTCAATTACGACAGTTATCACATAACTGTCGCAATTTTTGTGTCGTTAAACACTAATTTTCTTGTAGTGAGATCGTATGTGATTGATCCTCAGTCTCTGTGGGTTCGATAATCTTTTAAAACTAGAACGACTGAACTGTATACTTGCAGTTAGTATCCCGACAGACTTATAAAGTCCCGATCAGTTATGCGTTTACATAACTACCTAAATAAATGATGAATGATGAAGAAATGGAATCTAAACATGCATCAGAACCTTAACATCAAAAACTGGGCAGCAACTATATCATCACAAGAATTGTGCAAAATGTCAGTTTAAAAATAACAAAACTCAATGCATATGGGCATGATATATCAATACAAGTGCAATAATGCATGAACCAACAATTAAATGCATCTTAAACGCAATTTAGAAGACCCGGGCAGCAACCCCGTCTTCTCATGAACTGGAGAATAAGTCGACCTAAAAGTGAGCAAACTAAATAACAAAGATCCATAATCGAACAATTAAGCATAACCATGCTTAAAGGAGAATTAAATCATAACATACATGTTAGAAGAAAAAATGGAGAACATTGTTTTCATTTTTCAAGTGTACAAAAAGTCGGTATGAAAACAACCGAAAATGATATTGAGGCTTCACAAACATGCTAAAGGGTTTATCTATGCAACAAGAATAAGTTAAATCCATATGTACAAACTTTAAACAACACGGCGAAGCCATGACATAGTGTGAAAAATCTCAATAAAAGTTGAATTAAAACGAGGGAAAATCGATACCGGTATCAACCAATTGATTTATTAAACTCCGCAAAGTTTTATTCAAAAATTAAACTCACATATGTATGCAAAAATGGTGTTGCGGAGTGCCATGTATACATCTCATGAAATGCAAAAATATCAGTTTAAAATCAACCGAAATTGATACTTGTATCAAATGAATGTTAAACAAAGACTAATCATGTATCGAGCACAAATTAAATCCATGTTTTACATGCATTTCCATTACGGGACAGCACTACATATAATCATGAAATATGCCGGAAAATGGTTTCGGAACCACCAAAACCCATCAACAAATCTCAAGGAATGATCAATTATGAACAAATAATCGTCAAATGAAAACAAAAATCAATATGTACATGCGAAATTAATTTCCAGACAGAAACTGTTCCATAAACAAAATGACCAAAAATTCAATTTAAAATCATGCAAAAAATGACACCGGTAACCACCGATTGTCTGCCTAAGCTCCATAATGCGTGATGAAAAAATTAATTCTCAACGTGTATGTAAAATGAAGTTTTCGGATAACAATGAATTAATTAATGCAATGCATAAAAAGTTTATTTAAAAATGTTCAGAAACGATACCGATAGCCACCAATTATCACCACAAAGTCAAATGTGCTTCGAAACACAAATAAAATTCAAAATACACTGCATTTGTGAGCTCCAGGAAGTCGTGTACCAAGTGTCAAATCTTTATGAAAATAGATTCAAGAATAGAATTTCAAGGTACAAACCTCAAGCATCGATACTTGATACATTAATTGAAACTCACAAATTACATGCATCCGAAAATTGGTACCGGTAGCAACATCCAATTTACCGCTTAACAACAAAATTTATACCATTTCAACATCATCCAACTGGATTCACACTTCAACATTATACGATTCACAAATGCAACTTCTCTTTAATTCAAGAATCACGCAACTATCAATCAATTTCAACAAAGCTCTAACCTATTTCACACTTTATCATCACCACAAATCAAATGCAACCTCCAAACTTCAGTTCTAATCAACTTTTGTATCTCAAGCATTTTAACAAACACTTAAACTACAAACAATAATCTCACATAAACTTCAAAAAAACTCAACTTATAAACAACAAATTTCAAGTTTATGTAATGATCAACAACAAGAGTTTATGTTAACTCTTCACTTCAACAACATTCACAAATTCAATTATATATCAAGAATTTAAATTAAACAAGTAAATTTAAATGAATGCTTACCGAAAATAGAAAATAAATGGAGAACGAAACAAACAGAGGACGTGCTAGCCGCGGCGGAATCGCGAGGAAGCGACAGAGGGAATAATCGCATCAATCGACGGTGACAGAAGAGAGTTTTTGGCCGACGGGAGGCTCTCTCGACGCGTGACGGTGGAGAGAAGTTTGGCGGTTCGCCGGAGGTTGGAGGTGATAGCGGCAGATATCAGTGCTTGCGAGAGAGAAACAAGATCGATCAAGTTCCTTAAGTCTTGTTCATTCTTGTGATCAATACTCTTGAAGAATTTGTTGGTGTTCTTGAAGAAATTTGAGAGAATGAGTTTAGATCTTAAGAGATTAGAGAGAGAAAATTTGAGAGGTTTTTGGGAGTGAGTGAGTTATGAGATCAAATATGAATTTATGAAATATATATCCCTCCATTTGGGATTTGGGTTTGAATTTGGATTGGGTATCATTTTGACATTGTCACCATACAACGCAGAGAGAAAATACAAAATCGTGTTCGATGCAAAATCCTAACTCGAGCCCTAAATAAAAAATGAAGATGAAGAAATTTGTGACACGGTGCCGAAAGAACGGATGCGATACAATAAAGATAGAAGAAGTTATGAATTTTCGAAGTTGCTCTAATGCTTTCTTTTCCGGTTCGGCAACAAATTTCACTATTTCACTTGGGAAACATACCCTAAACAAAAGTCTTCAAAATACCGTTTGAACTCGAGGCCTGAAGCAAAGTTGTAGTTAACAAAATTTGTGATCCAATGCTTCAAGAACCAGCCCGATACGACAAAAATTGAGAGATTTGTGATTTTATGAACACCGAGAAAATAAACAACTATCAATCTTTTTCTAGTGTAAAAGTCTCTAGTAATACACACTTTCGGAGACCTTCTGAACAGGTTTGACTCTCGGCCCAAACACATGAAATGTAGGAGATGCCAAGATCGATTTTATGCCCAAAGAACAGGTCCAAAACATGAAACCGGATGAAATTTATGAATTTTTAAATGTATGAAAAATAACGGTTCAACACACTTTTTTACTTTATTTTCCACTGTACATCTTCAACATATTCACGCATTCGGAGATCTTTTTCTAAAAATTAGCTCTCGTCCTGAACACATGATTTGGAGAAGATATCAAGACGGGTTTTATGGCTGAAGAGTCACTCTGAAATGTTGAGCCAAGTGAGCATTATGAATTTTCGAACACCCGAGAAACAATCGACTAGAAAAACCAAAACTCGGTTTATTTAAATATTCAGAGGTCTTCCTCATAAAATTGGCCTTCGGTCTGAACAGACGAAATGTAGAAAATACCAAGACAGTCCCAATGTCCAAAAAACTACTCAAAAAACCTTTTGTGACCAGAAGTCATGAATTTTTAAAGTTCACCGCAAAAATATCAATTTTCTGCTCAAACTATTTTGTACTGACCAAAACACTTGATTTTCTTTGTCGGTTAAGACATGTTGGAACACACGGGAACTTCGCACGATGAGGATTTAGCTACTCACTGATGAATATCCTAGAGAATACTCTCAATATGTTAACTGACGAAATAAATGTCTTCTATAAACTGGCGAAGTTAGAAGAAAAGCCTTGATCTTGTAACCACATAACCAATGATATGTATGTATGCATATGATAATTAAATATAAGCCGAAAAGGGTTGAAATAAAGATGGTAAATTTTGGGGTATCACAGTTGCCTATAATCAATCGTCTTAAACCTAAAGCGAGATTGGCTCCAGCCTTTCGAGCGTTAAGGTGGAAGGTGATAGAATATAAAAATGAACTGAAAAATTTGCACTCTGAATTGAGACAAGTTGTATCAACACAGGTAACTGTTTTTGGTAGTCTTACGATATCGAACCAAGAGAAAATAGGTTTATGATTGGAGAAGGATAGTGAAAACTAAACTTAAACTAAGAATGCTAGTGACCACTAGACACGGAAAACGAGGTCAATGACCACTGAACTCGATCTAAGAAGGCTAGTAAACACTAGACTCGAGAAGATACCAATGAACATCGGATCTAAAATAAGAATACAGTACAAACTGGTTTCGACCAAACTGGAACAATGCCTTTCTGAACTAAAACCATTAGAACGTTATCTAAAACATTGGGGATCGAGTGAAGATAATGAGTGACCACTCGACCTTAGGAGTACTACCTAGAGTGTTCCATGAAAGAGCTGGATCCTAAATAAAGAAAAGAGTGAACACTCAGCTTATAAGGGACTTGTGACCACTAGACTAAGAGTACTCAACAGGATACTAATGAACATTATATCCAAAATAAGGCGAACACTTGATAGTCTCAAACCGGGAAGAACCAATGAACACTGAACCTAACCATGGAATTAGAGAGACGAAAGAGACAAATGAACACTTGATTCAGGAGAAACTAGTGAATGCTAGAATCTAAATAATACCAGAAAATTGTATTCAAAATCAGGTGACAAGTAACGGACTTGACCTTACAAGTTGCGTCAGGGAAAAACTGAATCGCGACAAGGCAAATGAGTGAACACTCGACAGAGGAAGGCTAGTATCCCCACTAGACTTCTACAGAACACCAAAACATTGTATTTTGAATAAGGTAACAAGTAAGCGTGCTTGACCTTAAAATGAACTGATGACCACTAGACCTAAAACGTTTCGCCAAGGAATAATTGGACCGCAACAAGGCAAAGAGTGAACACTCAAACAAAGAGGACTAGTAACCACTATCCTCCAGCCCTAGAAACATCAGTGAACACTGATCGTAAGAGGACTGGAAAAAATAGGGTAGTATCAAATGATAAACAACCTTTCAAACGACTTGTTGGGAACATCATTGGATGTCTGCGGGGTTTAACGAATCACAAGGTATATCAAGAGTTTGAACAAAATCACTGAGGGAAAAAGGTGAAGCGATGGGCTTATAATTCAATGCATGTTTGAATTTTTCTATGGAGTAGTGTTTCATAATGAACGAAAACGCTACACATTTGGGTTGATGCAATGCTAATGATGCATGCTTAAATGTTTCACTGGAGAGTAACAAATCGAAATAACCAGTAACCACATGTTGTATTCTGATAAGACTTGCAAAAATAAATTGCAAACTTTACTGAGGAGAGTAAAATATGCTGCACACTCTGAACGAGGATTCCAGTGGAGATTGAACGCCAACAGGGATACTAATAACCATTGGATTTGTAGAAAGTAACATGTCAACCTCCTCGGTGGGGATAAAAACTTCCAAAATAGAAACACATACACGCGCTTTCGTCAATCCGAAAACAAAACTCCACTTGGGAAGGAGAATAATCTCACAAAGAAGGCCCTACTGGGGAATAAGAAGAATCTCACAAAGAAGGCCTTATTGGGGAAAGAGGGGAAATTTTCTGCTATGGAAAACTTCTTCTCTGAGAATATCCATTCACCGATAAACTCACCCTTGTAGAAATTCACAAGGGACATATGAATTACTTATAAGGTATCTACCCATATGTATCCTCACTAGGGATAAAAACTTCCTGAAGGCCATATCAGCACAGGCTTCACCGGGGAAGAACAAATTCATGCACAACTTATTAGAGAGACATCGGTTATTTCAACGGGGATGAATTAAGGAAACTTTCTTGGGATAGGAGAACTCTTAATATAACTCTCAAAAAATGTTTATCACACTAGGGAGGTAAATTGTTGTACCGGATCCACCAACATGTACTTGGGAGCAGAAGGCATTCTTAATAGAACTCTTGAACAAAGGAAATTGTACTGGGGAAATGAGAAATCATGGGCAAGAGAGCTCAAAAGGCAGTTTTGCTTGGTACATAAAAAATCTCGAGAAAGAGATCTTAGAGAGGCGACTCCAGCGCAAACAGGCTTAATACACACTTTATCGGGGATAGTACTCTGCCTCAAAATCCTTAACAAATAAGCTTCTATTGGACAAAATGCAGACCACCCTGAGGAAAAATATATGGTTTAGGAATCAATCGTCCTATTAAGAATTTTGCACTGTAACAACCTTGATAGCTTTGTGCTCTCTTACTGGTATTTTCACTTATGCCGAGTGAACGACAGTTCCTGCAAAATAAAAATCACAAAATGCACCGGTGTAGCAGAGACAACTTCGTCTGCCAACCAAGTTACACAAGCTTTCAAAGAAAATTTTAGATGTTTCTTATCATGTGTAAAGCTTCCAAATTTTTAGATGCAATATTTTTTAAAAATTGGATGCCTTTATTGCAAACAAAACAGTAAAAGTAAAAAGAAAGATTTTGAATGAAAATAAACTTTTTATTAATTGGAATTTGACCTGTAAATAGGTAAGTACACCAGGAAGCAATTCCTAGAAAGATTTAATTGCAAAATTAAAAATAAAAGAGTAATACAAGAATGGTAATATGGAAACGGATTTCCCTCGGGTTCTGATCCTGCTATCACTTTTATGACATCGACTATCTCATCACTTCGCTTCATGTAGAAGATAAATGGACTGATTCCTTCCCTTTAGGGTTACGGACTGTAGTAGTAATATGAAATCAAAGATCCAATATCAGACGTAGTGGTTCGCTTTCAAATCCCTAACTTTTTCCTGGATCGCCCTTTCGAGTTTTTAATCCACCGGAATACCCTTTTTTGCCTAAGCCTCCGTTTTCGGGTTTTCAACTTAGAGGGTGTACTTATTATTTTCATTCATTTCATTTTTTTCTTTTCTATCCCTAATTTTTGTCGGAACCTTTTATTCATTTTTTAGGTTCACCAGGATGCCCTTTTTTGCCTGAGTCGTCGACTCAGCGGATCTTTTCATGCGAAGTCTTTTTTCACTACATATGCGTTCACAGGGAGTGGGGAGTCTTCACCATCCATTGTTGTAAGAATCATGGCACCTATAGAGAAAACCTTCTTTACAACGAATCGTCCTTCATAATTGGGAGTCCACTTGCCCGAGGAATTACCTTGAGGGAGAATTATCCTCTTCAGTACGAGGTCATAGGCCTTATAGTACCGAGGGTGGACCCTTTTATCATATGCCTTTCTCATTCTCTTTTGGTACATCCGACCATGACAAACATCTGCTAGTCTTTTTTCATTAATGAGGTTCAACTGGTCCAATCAATTCTGAATCCATTCAGCTTTGTCAAGTTCCGCATCTTTCATAATCATACATCCAGACAAAACTGCTTCCATACCATAACCAAGCGAGAACGGGATTTCCCCGATCAAGGTGCGAGTTGAGGTACGATAGCCATACAAAGTGAAAGATACATTCCATGGCAATCCTTGTAAGTCACCAACATCTTTTGCATAATCTCTTAATATTCTTTTTGGCGGCTTCAACAGCACCATTCATCTTCGGACGATAC